TATAGGTTGGAATTTGGTTTTATAATACTGGGTGGGTTGTTGGCTTACCCAATGGTGTTGATTTCTGTCTTATGTGAATTTCAGCGCTCCCCCTTCGATTTTTCTGAGTCTGAGAGTGATTTGGTTAGTGGGATTAAAACTGATTATTATGGTTTATCGTTTGCTGTTATATTCGCTTGCGAGTATGCAATAATGGTTTTTTTTGGTTGGTTTATTTCGGTTGTTTTTTGAGGTGTGGTCCTTGAAATGTGATTTATTTTATACATACTTTTTTTTTGATCTTTGTTAGCGCGGTTTTCCCGTGAATTCGTTATGATTATTTTGTTTTGTTGATGTGAAAGATCGTGCTATTACTTATGTTGTTGTTAGTTATTTCTGGTGTCTCGTTTGTTTATATATATATTAAGTTTAGATTGTAAGGCTGTTAACCCTAAGGTGATGTATTAATTATCTATAAGCGTTTGTCCCCCCCTAGTTGTAGTTAAAAAATAACGTGTGTTTTGGGGATACAAGTTTTTCTGTGAAATAATTAGATATCGTTGATAGGGCTGCAAATAGCAGGTTACTCTGATATAGTGATTTGTGAGGATTATTCTTCCGTCAACAGTGTTGCTAAATAGGTTGTTTTCGTTTGTTAAAATCTCAACAACTAAAACAACAAAATACTTTTTTTAATTTATGAACCCATATGAGTGTGGGTTTAAATCATTTGGGACAAGGGTAAGATGTTGAGATAGTATTACTATTAAAAATGGGTTTGTCGGAGATTTCGTGGGGTTCGTTGGTTTATTATTTGTTTTTTTTGGTTGTTGTTATATTTAGTTTTTTTACGAGATAAAGTATGGCTTTAGAAAGTTTGTTAAATAGGGTGGAAACTTACCTTTGTTACTGCTAATAACATATTCAGATGTGTGGAATGTCTAGTTTCCTTAGATTTATAAGTTAAGTTAAACTATTTGTTTTCAAAACAATAAATAAAACCTGTGGTTTTAAATTTGAAAATGAAAAGAATTTTTATTTTATTTTCTTTGAATCATAAGAAGATAGGTATAGTTTATTTGTTTTTAGGCATGTGGTCTGGTTTTGTAGGGCTGGGACTTATTATGATAATTCGTTTAAACTTAATGAGTCCATATCATAAAATTATTTCGACTGAGTTATATAAATTTACAATAACAAGGCACGGTATTGTAATGATTTTTTTCTTTTTGATGCCTGTTTTAATTGGAGGGTTTGGTAATATTTTATTACCAATATTCACACGACAGGGTAATATGAAGCTTCCACGAATTAATTCCTTTAGTCTTTGAATATTAATACCATCCATGATAAGGTTGTTGATTAGTATGTACTTGGGCTCAGGTGTTGGGTGAACATTTTACCCCCCCTATCTAGAAATTATTTTTCTCGTAGTGGTGTGAAGTATATGTTAATTTCTTTGCACTTGGCTGGTTTGTCTAGGATGTTAGGAGCGTTGAAATTTATTATAACTTGCAATTGTTATTTTTATTCTACCTGTTCTGGTTTAGACTCTAAGTTATATGTAGATTGGGTACTTTGCACCCCAATGTTTATGTGGGGTTATTATTTTACCTCTTTTTTATTGTTTTTATCTATTCCAGTTTTGGCAGGAGCCATAACAATGCTATTATTCGATCTTAGATTGGGAATATCCTATTTTGATCCACTAGGCGGTGGTGATTCTATAATGTTTCAACACATGTTTTGGTTTTTTGGACATCCGGAGGTTTATGTCTTAATAATACCTGGTTTTTCTATGATTGGACACATTTGCACAGAGTTGAGAAATTGAGAGTCGCCAGTGAGATACTTGGGCATGGTTTTAGCAATGTTTTCAATAGTTGTACTAGGATTTATTGTTTGGGCCTATCACATGTTTACAGTTGGCATGGACATAAATAGTATATCGTTTTTTAGTGCTGTCACAGCACTAATTGGTATACCAACGGGTGTAAAGGTGATTTCGTGGGTGTCCATGTTAACCACCGGATCAGTTGGCTTGGGTGATCCTGTGGTTTGATGGATAATTTCTTTT